AAAAAAAAAAAGAAAAAAATGGTTCATTTATGTGTCAACAGCACAAAAAGCTGAGACTTCATTTGTTTTCATATTCACGGCTATAAAAAGCCGTGGTGCCGAAAAGTAAATTGCTTTTTTTGTTATAAACAAATATAGTTAAAACCCCATGAACACTTTTAATTTAAGGATTTAGAATAAAGCGAAGATACATACCTTTATCATCTCTTGGTTGGCTCCCTAGCATGGCCCGCTTGAAAGAGTCTGATATGATATAAGTGCAGTGAATCTTTATAAACCGAAATAAAATATAACCGTGCAGGTTTTTTCTGTTGTTGTAGTTCGGCTTGCAGGTGACATAATTGAGCTTAAAAACATTTACGCGACTCACCGTAAGTGACGCAGTTCACACTGCTAGATAAACTCAGTCCTAATTAAAGATGCTTTTCCTAAATTAGAAGTGCATACAGATTTGTGCCCAGGTTTTGCAGTTACGATAGGTACTCCAATGTTATATAAGCTTCATCTTGTTTAAAACCGTTGTAATAAGAATTTTTAGAGGAAGTTGACTCTTTTATTAACTAACAAACGTGTCAGAGATACTAATCATATAAGTGCACGTAATGTCACTTTGAGATGAATTGCAACTGAATTTTATCACGTCTTCAAAGTTTCTCAGGGGCAATCGGGAAAGATAATTTCTGTGATCCCGGGTACAGCTTCCTTTTTGGCTCATAACTTTTCGGGCAATTTTATGAAGCTTTTGCGACACGTTTTAATGTTCGAAGAAAGCTGAGCGTTTCTCGTTCTGCAATTTGGGTTCCATTACGACTTATCCTGAAAAACATTCGACCATTAATTTCAGCTTGTTTAAGATATTTTCTTTGTGTTTCACTGCCTCAACCCTCATACATAGCAAGGGGAGGCGTTCTTCCCGCCTCAAAAAAGTATTTTTCAGAAATTTGAAAAGGGGATTTCTTCCTTGATACTGTAAACTTCAGCAGCTTTTTATTTATGCCTCGTCAAGACCTGTCAATTATCTCTTCACGTCATTTGAAATTGATATAGCAACCGCATTTTAACACGTTAGTCATTTCAAATTTCGCATTGTTTGAGAGAATTCTTCGGGTTTTTTCTGTTTTCTTGCAGAGGTTGTACCTTTTTATATTCTAGTATCATTTTTTTTAACAATTTCCAATCAATTTACGCTATTTTCTGACTTCCTGTGACAATATTGAATCCAAGATGACCAATACAATATGGCTGACTTATTGACATAAAATTACGTTATCGTATAGCGCAAGCCGAGGGCTATCTATTGAATACAAAATAATTCGCATAAAACAGAGGAAGATGTCTCATGTCGTATGCCCATTTGGACAGGGGAGAGAAAGGGGTGAAGAAAAAGTCAACAACCAAGTGAAAATTGTTGAAAGATGGGTTTAGGGTTATTTTAATCAACAGCAGTTTTACAATGTTTACGTTATTGTCCTTAGTTTGTTTAAAGACTGATTGAATAGAATGATTGAATTTAAAGAATGATGGAATCGTCATGCAAAGCCAGATGCAGTTTTATAGACAAGGTATTTTAGAAAATATGTTTTAAAGACTGGACATCCCTAACTAGTGTCTCAGAATTTACCAGCGCGGCACAAGGAGGTCTTAATCTCAATCCTTAGTGTAGAATATTTTGATTAGTTTTAGCACTCTTTAGCCTTAAATAATTTATTCATTTTTGAACTATTGTTTTTTTTTTGTATTTTGTCCGCACATTTGAGTTTTAACATCTCTTTTTGTACGTTTTATTTCCGGAAGGCCTTTGTGTATAAAACAGGTTCACTGGTATTACGTGACTGCCGAGTCCGCTGAAAATATTAGTTATTATTAGTATTATTATAATTGAAATGCCATTACCGTATTACTATTGGCCCCCGTTGGGAGAAAATAACTATAATCTTCATGCTGGGCGCCGTGGCTACGAACACTGTAACTCCTTGCGCTCCAGTACACTCTACCCAACTAACCGCCTATATATAACGTGGCATTCACATCTGAAGCTCCGGTTTAGTTTACAGTATAATTAGAAGGAAACTGTATGTAATTAAATATATTATATTTCTTTCTTAAAAAGTTTTAGTACTAAAGACAAGCAAATTATCGCTGCTAGAGACAAATCAGGCTTATCATATCATTAGTAACACAACACGGTTGTTAGAGTACAAATGACAGAAGAATAGGCCATTTCCGAGTTGCCCTCAGCCTCTATGTCAAAACCAGTCTTCGTGGGATACCATTCATATGAAAATGTTTTAAACCTTTACGGTCATTTCCATGGAAACAAACTCAATTTCATATGAAGGGTTTTGAACTAGGACTCATTAAAGAAAAAAACAAAAAACAAAACCAAAAAAAAAACAGAGGCACAAGGTAACTCGGAAATGGCCTATTCCTGTTTTTCTTTTCCTTTTTTTGCATTTTGCTATTTATACTTTGAAACCACAGATTGGCTTAACCAAAAATTCAGTTTTCGTAAAATTAGTTCCCGTGAAAATAAATTAAAATAAATTTTGCTTGTCATATTGACAGTTGATTAAATGCTTTCTTTTCGTAATTATATCATGAAAGCAAATCAGTTCAAAATTACTACTGTAGTTTTATTGTTCGTACCCTAACGTAACCTTATGCACTACCTCACTATTGTCCTTCAATCTGTTTAATGTTTGCTTCACTGTTCATTTTTGGAAAAAAAAACACTTTTCCAAATGGCTCTGAGCCAGTTCTAAAGTCTGCTGTCCTGTTCCTCTGTCGGCATGGTTACCATTTCGTCAGAGAGTCCTCGTGTCTCTAAAGAGTGCGCAGAACCCATGGTAGCCTCGATTTCTTCCACATTTGAGTAAAGATGTGCTTCGTACTTTGACATATCCAGATCAAGGTAGTGCTGAGAAAAGAATATTATCAGCGACAATAGGCAACTCAACCAGATACAAAATAGCCTATCAAGACGAGATCGATCGTTTTCATAGTCATTTGAATTATATTACCTGCATGATTAAACCTTACTAAGTAACTCATATAACATTGTTAGCGCAATGAGACAAATACTGCTGGTGACAAACTTGTGCATACAAAAAAAGTCACCAAAATATTATGCTTGTATTCGCGGTCAAGTTGCTAAATTAGACGTCCTCTATTCTTGAAGGAATTCCTTAAATGTCGTGAGTCCTGGGCTGCTAAGTACGCACCGTGAAAACTGGTCTGTGATCTATTAAACAGTCATCGCTGCCGTTAGCCTAAACTAATTAAAAATATTAATGAAGTTGAGTTTTATCATTGTGTGATATTTACTGGGCTATTTCTGAAGACTAATTCCTTAAAGCCATCATTGCTTTGCACTGCATTAACGGAAAATGCTTCTGAAAAGGGGTTGGTCGTCCTTTGCAAATTAATCCCGAAGAGGAACTCTCTCTGGTTCATTTCAGATATGGTTCATTTCTAATTCAGATATAGTCCACTTGAATAAAAGCCAAGACGGGTTTCATGATTTTACGTAACCTTACCTCTACTTCCAGTAATTCTGTTGTGATCTGGTAAAGACGCTCAAAGGTCGGACGAAGATCCGGGTTTTCATGCCAACAATCTAACGTGATTTGGTATCTGTTTGTGTCCAATTATTAACAACTACTTAACGAGTGAATCATCAGTGGCAAGTAGATTATTCATTCTCGAGTAAATTAATTGTTATTTTCAGATTATCTTTTTTTTAATTTTCAAAGTATTACTTACCGAAACCTTCGGCTTTAGAAAGTAATCAATAATTGTTCTGCGTGACACTGTCAAATGACGGTATTTTACGGCAACCAAACTCAAGAACAGCGCTTTTCACGATTAGCTTTTCTCTTTTGTCTTACAATGTAATCCAACGTGGATGCCGCGGGTAGAACCTTGCCTCACATACATATTGGATTATATTTAATGCAAATGAGAAATATTAACCGTGAGTAGTGGAGTGGTGTGGCCTAGTGAGGAGTGGAGTGGTGTGGCCTAGTGAGGAGTGGAGTGGTGTGGCCTAGTGAGGAGTGGAGTGGTGTGGCCTAGTGAGGAGTGGAGTGGTGTGGCCTAGTGAGGAGTGGAGGCAGCGTGGCCTAGTGAGGAGTGGAGGCAGCGTGGTCTTGTGGTTAGGGCGCTGGATTTGTAATCCTGAGGTCCCGGGTTCAAATCCTCCTCCCTGTCACTGGATGCATTTCAGTGTTTGGTGGTCCCAGACTCAACTCCTCCACGCTTTGTAAATAGCCAACTGGTCAGCCTCCCGCCAGTTGGGATTTTTAACAAGTTTCTGTTTAATTTACAATAGTTGTTTGCTCATTTCAGTGTCCACAATTAGTACAGTAGTGCTAAAGACTCTGACACTTAAATAAAGTGATTTACTTATTTATTTAAAATGGCTATTGTTGAATCATTCCATCATCGTGTTTGTCTTTTCAGAATGGGAAGCCACGTGTGTTGCCTTGGTGAAGTAAAAGAGAAGAAACGCTTTTATTGTGTAACATTTTGTTACTGAGTTCATGCTGTGAATAAAACCAGCAGTGGACTCGATTTAAACCCAGCCGAATGTTTAAAATGGAAAAGAAATTCTAATATTTTTCAAGTTTTTGTCACATTTTTGGGCTAGAAACAATCATTTTGAAAGATAATAATAATTAATAATAATTTATTGATTTATAGTGCGCTTTTTAACATACCAGGTGATCAAACAAATAAATAAATAAATGAATAAATAAATAAATAAATAAATAAATAAAATAAATAAAATAAAATAAAACTTCTTTTTTGCACTTACATCTCATCGCTGATATGATCCGGCTGATCCATTCTGTACTTGTTGACTTTCAGCTCGTACACTACCTTCCACTTACCCCACCCAGGGTAAGGAAGGCCTCCT